CCATCTTCTTTCCACTCCTGGTGGGAGCTAGAAGAACAATCTCATTGTTCTTGTCGACTGAGTATCTGTTGAAAGCTGGAGTAAACAGCTCAACAAGATCCCTGAAGACCTTGTGGTCTACACCACAACAGTTGAGGAGTGCTTGGTCATCCCCTGACTGGAAGAGGTAGACGAAGGGGGAGTCAGCATATCTCCTTATTGCAATCCTAGGCGTTCTTCTGTCCATCCTGCGTCTCTCCTCTTTGCTCCTCTGTTTTCCATCCCATTCAGCCTTCAAGCGTCCTCTGTGCTTGATTGCCCAGTATATGGTAAGGGTCTCGATGACATTCATTGTGTCTCTTCTGTTTGCTGGGAGGCAACTGTTGCCTCTTGTTTAGGATAGTACAGTGGAATTTATGAATAGAAAATTTATTCTGTGTACTAGACGAGACGGGATCACAGTATTGAAAATTTCATGTTTTACCTAGTACCGCCCGCGCGGTTTCCAGTCTTATTAGTCATTTAGTCATTGCCGTTGGCGTGATTCCGAATTCCTTAAAAGAAAAAAAACTGTCCGTTGGGATCCTGTTTTTAATGATTCCCGTTAATCTAAAAAGTCTAAACTAGACCATTTAGAATTTTAGACTTTCTAGACTATCGGGAATGACCCATTGATAGCAAATCATTCAGGGGCTATCGATGAACTACGTACAGTAGGATTGGAGAACAGTTCAAAAGTTAACCAGAACAGTGGATCGCACACTTTTCCTACCGGTATTTTCACGAAGCGTCTGTGATGTAAAATTTCTTCGGAAAATAGTTTCAAAAACAGTGAGGGATGGGCCATGATTCGCGGTGTGGGTATTCAACCTGTCGAGAAAAATATCCTTGCTTCATTGGCGTTCTTGGGAGCCATTGCTCTATCCCGCCAGTACTTTTACGATTTTAATTTTTTTCCCCGCGACAATGGATGTCAAGCAAGCACTATGAATGGCGGTTCACGAGAAGAAGAGACCGATGATGGAACTCCAGAGGGCGGCGCCGCCGACGTGAACATCGATGGAAATGCAGTTGCAAACGATTTGGTTGAAGACAACAAAAAAAATATTTGTTTTCCATGGGAGCCCCATTATTCTCCTCCAAAATGCAGGGACACCGAAAATCTCAATCCAAGGAAATTCCCGCTAAAGAAATGGCATGAAGTTTCTGCACTACACAAGATTGATTATGATAGTGCTCACGAGGATGACCACGGCACAATTTCTACAGAAACGTGCAAAACTGAGCTTGATTTTCTGTCATCCATGACTTTTGCGAATGGAGGACTGCGATCTCCCTCTTGTCCTTGCTGTGTTTGATGCTCAGCGAACAGCGTATTTGAGTTTCACGAACTTCTTCGCTAATATTGGGCAGTGGTGAACGAATGTATTTGTCGACACTCTGCGGCTTCAACTGGAGAGGAGAAAAATTGAGAGAAATATAGCCATTTGCACACCTTCTGCATAAGCGCTTCTGTCTGTGAATACATATTCCTGTCAGAAACGATAATTTACTTCGCAGAAATAAGGTTACATTTTGTGGGAATACTTTAATGATACGCAAGTCATAAAGATGATCAACAAATGACAACAGAAATTGAAAGGGTTCTAGAGTGAATCGCCCAGGTCGTTGAAATGTTACAACGAGGTTATGTTCAGTTCTTACCCTCATCAATGATCGGAACTTTCCATCAAGCACACCAGGATATCAGTTACAATTGAATTAAAATTCATTATCTTATGTGGTTATGTCGTTTCAAGTGTGTCGAAGTATTTTTAATGTCCGCCAGTAAGGTACTAGTAGTAGGATCCATATGCTCTGTTCATTGAATTTCCCTTAATGCATTTAGCTGAGCAGATCATACTTGGAAATAGAATTGATCAATAAGAACTAGTAATAAGAAGGTGTCTCTTTCAGTTGAATCAATAACTTTGCTATGAAACCTTAAAGAATTAATGAAGAAAATCCTAGTGGTTAGTCAAATGAAATAAAGAACAACCATCGCAACTGAGCTCTTCTGATTGGAATTCTGCTGCATCCTGCTCATTTGTCATGTAAATTCCTTCATCTGATTCTTGGTGGAATGGTGCGTCTGCATGCAATTGGTGGATATCGCATAATATCATTGATATTTTGTGAGGGTGACAACAATGTAATCTTCCAGCACTTTGGATGAGGTGCAGATATATGTAAATACATGTATGAAAAGTAATGAGTATGATTGGCTGACGCAGAATTGGATACTGTCCAGCAGTCATGTACGGATTGTATTGGTTCCATGGTATATCAGCCCACCCTGTCTGTTTCAACACTTTCTGGTGATGTTAGACTACAGTACAATACAAGGAGGAAGGAAGAACCCTAATGAGGTGGAGACAGGTCTGGAATTGGTACAAATTTTACATGGCTTTACAAAAGAACAATATACCTTATTTGCCTTCACAACTTTAACCTGTCTCAAACTGAAAAAGTATTTTATATCAAAATTGTTGCTACTAATTTTTACAGAGAAAGTTGGTGCAAGTTGCTGAAAGTATGGAGGCATTGTTCATCTTAATGATACAGAGGACTCTTTTAAAAAAACTCTTTGCCAATTTATCTGAGACCTCTACTACTACTAGATCCCCTTGTTCTCATTATACTGAAGTTAGCTATTCCAGTACATGTGTTGACTGGAAGTGTTGCTAATAGCTCTATCTGGGAGTTGAAACAAACCTTGTACTGGTGGTTTTTTTTCTGACTACTAAAATCTGCACGTTTTTATTGCACCCATAACCTATTCCAGATTCATGCCATATAGTCTTTGCCTTTGTTCCTTGTAGTAGTACTAGTAGTACCGGTACAACAAACAATTTTGAAGTTTCACCATACTTATGCGTGAAATAACAATTGAAACTACATTAATTGAGACATTGGGAATGTCAATTTAACATTCTGGATGTTAGCAGGAGTGTAGGCTGCGCAGAAATGAGTACTGCAGTTTTTGCTTCAATTTTATGTTCCAAATGATCTGCTTACTAACAGTCTGAAAGAAGTTGGCAGTGGAGGCCTCCTCTTCTTCCTCTTTTTTAGCTCCCTTCTTCCTTTTTTAGGCATGCACATGTGCAAGACTGAATGAAGAATGTGGATAATACTATGATCTACATAGGGCTTTCTGCATGTTAAATTTAACGTTCCCAATGCCTCTTCATCAATTAATGTAATTTCAATTGTTATTTTACGTGTAGTAATAGAAGTACAGCAGTACGGTACTGTACATACGAGTTGAAACAAGGATACATTATGATGCGCTAATGTTTTTGTATCCCTCATCTATGAGGATTGAGAATGATGACTCTATGATACAAAAATTGTTGAAATATTTTGGATGTTCTATTGAATACATACTTTACAGTAAATATTATATTTTACATTTGTAGCTACCCAGTTACGAAGAAGAGCTTGAAAAGAGTAAAAGCACGCTTCGTTGTTTCAAACCAATCGATAGAAGAGAACTCCCCATCAGCAGAGACAGTGTTCCATGTTATGTTTCGAAGTTTCACAATCACCAAAAAGCCTCGATGTGTCTGCAAAATTATTATTCTTCCTTTGTTCGTCTTTGTTCGTCGATTGCTGTAATTCCGAATGTCGATGACAAACCGAAATCAAGTCAATGATCGTACTAGCACTTTGAAAAGGCATCATTTTCTTTCTTTCCCGATAGATATGAATCGATTTTGTTGTCACTTGAAACTCTTTGTATCCAGTGAACAGGTCTAATTTCATTACCAGAAGGACGATGAATTGAATCAATGTGAGCCGAATGAACAGAATTGAAGCTGATGCATCCCACAGAATTATTCTGTATCACAAACATTTGTTGATCTTCATCCACTTGATCTTCCTTGCCATTAGACGATTTCTTCTCTTCTATGTCATCTTCTGCTTCGCTCCACGCAAGGCATCTCATCAATGAATATCGAGAATGTCGACGCCTTGGTTCACTACGCTGGATCTCGGAACAAGTATTTTCATCTCTTGCATCTTCTTCTTCCTCACTGTCGTACATGGAAGGCATGTATAGTGTACTATCATCTTGAGTCTTCGCAATATCATTCATTTTTGAAGGTCGCTTTTCTTGTTGTTGTTTGTCGTGTGTTGTGTGTCGGTTGCGGCTTGCTCTCTATTTTCCTCTTGTTTTGTGCACTTTTTCGGAACGAATTTCTTTTCTTTTCGGAATGCTTGTTTTGGTCACAGTCTCATTTCTTTGAAATCAACGCATGGCATGCGTGGCTATTGTTTGTCACGTTCACACTATTACGACTTGTATTGTTGTCCACTTGTGAAATCACATCAACGCATGAAAATATTTTTAGGATGAGTGCGCGGCGCACCCTTTTTGCGCGCGACCATCAGAGCCGGTCGAGCTGTATTTTCGAGGTCTTCACAAAAAATAAAATTACTACCGTACAACGAGTACCGTACGGTACGTTACGAATCCATAGACGATTGATTTGAGCACTAATCCATTGGTTTCCATCACGAAGTTTATGATCCCATCCTTGATGTAACAAAAACTCGTCTGTACAAAATCTACAAATGCAGTTCTCGAATACTAGTGTGGTGCTGGCACAAATTCAATTCTGCTTCTCCCTCAACAGGCAAACAAGTCATCTGAATCCAGCATCTCAAAAACTGGGAGCAAGCATTTGTTGTCTATACTACTAGTACTACTAGCTAGTAGTAGCAGTACTACTAGTACTACTACTAGTAGTACTAGTATACTAGGAGTGCTACTACTAGTAGTAGTACTACTAGTACTAGTAATAGTAGTAGCTAGTACTACTAGTACTAGTACTACTACTAGAGCTCTCTACTACTAGTATTACTACTACTAGTACTACTTAGTAATAGTACTACTAGTAGTAGCTAGTATTAGAATTTTAGCACTCGAAATTTTGTGTTCCTCTAGTAATTCTGTGTTCCTCCTCTTCTTGCTCTGAAAAGCTACAGGAGTACTGTAGTAGTTCGTAGGGACACATGTTGTTGTAGTTCCTGTCTTGTGACCCTGTTGGGGGTACTCAGAATAATTCTACTACTGCAGTATTGCAAGCGCTACTAGAAACTCATCAAAATGTAATGCTTTCACTAGTAGCTACTACTGGTAGTAGTTCCTTCGTTAGTACACACTAGTGCATCACCGTCATTCACAACCCATCGACTGACACAGAGCAGTAACCCTAATTCACGCAAAGCAATAGATGTTAGACAGGCCGTAAGCTATTTTCTAAAAGCACAAATTACTATTAACTTCAGTTATTGTGATACATTGCAGACATGCAATCCACTACTATACAAACCAAACAATTACGCATAAGTATGGCGTTACATGCGTTTTGTGTTTGGACCTTGACCTCTTCCCACAGGCACAGGTTTTTTCTTTCGTTCTATCTGATAACGCCTTGCACTAGTTCATCCCAATGAACTACTTTAGCATCGTTGATAATTTTTGGTGTGTCCCTTCTAGTAGAAGATGCGATCAAAGATGATTCATCTATGCTCCACGCTGCACATCGCTCAAGTTTAAAACCACGAACGCATTTGCTATCGGATTGAGAGGCGGATTCTATCGGTCGGAAGATGCGACAACCATTTTTAGAATTCAAAGATTCTGAATCGCTCACACGATCTTCCCAATGAACTATTCTTACATTCGACGTCGTCCTTGAATTATCGGACAGACGCTCACTTTCGAAGGAATAATCATCTTGTACCCATGCGGTGCATCGATTCAACCCACTGAACTCAGCAGACTGGCTGGTAGTATCCTGCGTTTTCCGAAATATGGCGTCGCTCGATGCCCCTGTATTTGCTAGTGGAGACCGACGTTGGCGCTGTGACGAATCATGAAGCAAGTGATGCACAGAACTCGAAAGAGACTGTGTGTCTATAAGATCGCCATATCTGCCAGATGCGTCATCTTCGTTGACCCTCTGATTCGCGGATTTTGATTGAACGATTTCCTCATCTCTTCCGTCACACCAAGATGACTCGTTACAGACAATCGTGCTAAACACCGACCCTTTGCAGTTCATTGCATCCCCGAGGAAATCGACGGCCCCGATGCACATCGTCGAAAACTCCGGTAAAGATCGCAGGAGAATCATTGTTGTTGTTATCTTCTCTTGTCCAATCGATGACGGTTGTGTTCTCTATGAAACTCGAAGTAACAACGATGTTGTTCAAGACGATCTGAAGACTGTTTGGCAGAGACAGATCAGAATTTGTGTTCCAACATGTGTCTACTCGTATTTTTCTTGGGAAAGATCAATCGAATGTCACAAACAGAGACCGAACTGTCTTGAAATCCATGGTAGAGATCCTGTCATCTAAAATTTGAAATTTACCGCCCAAATATTTGTCGGAACGGAAGAAAAGACGAATGCCACGCGCCAGTTCATCCTTACGATTATACATAGAATCGCAACGGATTATCATCTTCCCGCAAGACAGATACGTAACGTTTATTTAACGTCTAAGTCATTTTAAAAGACTCTACATCTTGCATCTACGCGTATTTCACGTAAATTGATTGCAGATTTTTGAGGTCGAAATAACGTCACGCCAAAAACGTGATTTACAATCTAGCCTCCAAACGGAAATTAGGTTCGTATCTACTCGCGCCGTGCACGAGTAAAGCACGAGTAAAGTAGATGATTGTGCAGATTGTTGTACGAGTGCCGTAAGTTCTATCGATACGGTGAACAAAATTACTGTCCGTCCGCACGATTTGCAATGAACATGAGACGTACAAGTTAACGGTGTCCAGTATGGATACCCGCAACACTGACTCATACCTGTTTGTACGGATCGAAAGAACACTACCAGGTTGAGGGGGACACAGCTAAGAAGTACCATCAGGCGACTTTTGGTTGAGAAGTTATGTCCAAGAAGAGACCGAAGTGGAATGGTGGAATGCAACTGTGGTAACTGTACTATGTGATTTATTGTTCATGTTTCCAAAGCAAGTGAGGAAACATGGACAATAAACCATATACTACAACAACATTCAATGGCAAGAACAGGTTGAGAATGATTTGTTTTATATGATTTATTGGTCACTCATTGCAGTCTTTGAAGAATTCTTCCTTTTCTTCCTTTGTCATGTTCCTAACAGCATCTCTAAGAGATTTCTTCTGCAGGTTTCTATATCTACCCAAGGCTATGTCCTCAATATTAATTGGACTTGTCCTCAGCCAGGTGAGTCTTGCCTCCTTTTCATCAGTCCACTTTGAATATAGCGGTGGTTTCATATTTGCATTCTTCAACTTCTTGTACTTTTCTCTCAACTCTGCTTATGTTCTTTCCTTGCTCACTCCTACTGATTCTATAAAATAGTAGAAGGGATCTCAACTGCAGCATCCTGAGGGCTTCAAGTGCAATTGGTGGCTCCTTCTCCAAGATTGCAAGAGCAGTATTTTCTCTTTTCTCCTTTTCTTTGCATATGGTCTTTTCTTTCTGCAAAGCCTCAGCTTCTTTTCTGTGATTAGCCAACTCAGTGGCCTTGAAAAAATTGTCACTAGTGGCATGGGACCCGCCAGTACCAAAAAAAGTTCTCCATGGGTCTTTGCATTTGCCAAGGCTTCAATCCGTTCTTTTGAATTGGGTTCTGTTACTGCAACAATGATGTCATTGTGATTGCGTAATTCCAGTTTTGCTCTCAGGTGACAACCATCATATCCTTTTGTGTCAAGGAGATTACATGCCGACATGTTCCGCTCTTGCATGTCCTTGTACAAAACAGCATTAGGGTCATTCACATCATCCTGACAAACATGACCTGAATCAAGGCAGGCCATTGTAAATGGAGCTGCACCCACTTTCTTCCACGCACCAATATTTCTTTCCCTAGAAAATGCTGCAGAAAAACTATCAACATACCCACCAGCACCACTTATTTCATCAGTGCCCCCAAAAACCAGAAGACCAACTATTGAAGGGAGTAATGAGATGGTTTTTTGTTCTTGAGACAATCTTCAGTGAGCTTCTTGAGGTTGTTTCTGTATTTTGTTTTGAACAGACCATACGACTGACCAGTTTCTTGGCTCACAGCAGTGCTATTTGGTACACATGGGTAGAGGATGAACCCATGAACTCTGAGTTTAACAAGCATATCAATGTTAAGCCGCCCAGGTCCTGAATCAATTTTTCTCATGACTCGCTTTCCATTTTCATCTGATGCATTGGGATAGAGAGGTACGATGCTGTTAAAAATGTATTTCTCAAATTCTGAATCATCCATTCCTGCTTTTTCATTGATGCCGACTGTTACTGGGAAGGACCTGCACTCAGGACCATCAAAACCAAATACACCTTTGACCTTTTTGCAGTGCAAAATTGTTTCTAACTTGAGCTTCTTCCTTTCATCACTTGTTGCTCTAGTACCAAATTGAAAGTGTGGTGGAAGGGCCTCTCCATAGGCAGTTGACCCAGCAATGAAAGTGATTGCTACACTAGACTTGGTGACACGCCTTCCAATAGTGGGTATGCTGGGATCAACTAAACTTGATGATGGTCTTCCTCCTCTCCTACCATTTCCACCATCMAATGAGAGGCAGGACTCATCTAGATTGATGATCCTTTGCAACTGCTTTTCTGGAATCTCAATTCCATGTGTACCTTCTGCAGATTCAAATGCAAACCCAAGCTGAACCAAGTTCTTCTTCCAATTGTCAAACCATAACTTCAGGTTTGTTCTAGTGGTCCATCGAGCTCTTCGATCTTCCACTGGATTCAAAACTTTTGCCTGAAGATTCACCTTTGTCCTACTCAACACTGAATAATAAAAACTGTTCCCTCCAGTAACAGAAGAAGACAACAAACCAATTGTTGCATTCAGTCTTTGAACCAAAGGCAAACGATCAATAGCAGAGGCATCTCCATTTGCCTGATTGATCTGAACAAATGTTTTAAATGCATCAACAACCAAGTTCATTGTATCCTCAGTGATATTCCCAGGCCTTGGGCCCTTCCTTGCTGGTGGCACACCAGATTGGGCTTCCCTCACATATCTCAGAATAGTTCTGTGATTCAACACAGTTCCATACTCAGAATTGACCGCCTTGACAATGCTTGCAGCACTACAACCCTTGCCTTCAGGATCATCTTTTGCCTCCTTGTAAAGTGTTGTTGCTTTCATGTGTGCTCGGGCCATGTTCTCGTGCTTGATCCTTTTGTTTGAACCACTGATGTGTGCATTTTTGACATTGTCTTTGGCTTTCACTTTTTTCTTGCTACTACCAGGAGTGCTGGTGCCAGGAGTCACATTGTTGACAATGCAAGTATTGGAAACAGATGGAGTGGAAGGAACAGCTTTGTTTTCAGCAGCCTTTTCAGAAGCTTCTTCTCTCATTTTGGTTACAACTCTACAAACCCGCATTTGCATTGAAGCTTTGTGAGTTTCAAACTTTTCAAAACCAACAGCCTTGATTGCTTGAGCAACAGTAAGAACACGTGGATTCACAACAAGATCAGCAGCCAATGTCACCTTTTGTTTGAGTTCTTCTTCTGGAGAAGGCCTGGGAATGATGCTGGTACTAGTAGTAGTACTACTAGTACTAGTAGTAGTAGAAAGAGGAACACGAGACGCATACCTTTTTGCACCCAAATGGGTAGTACGCTTAGTACCAACAATTTTGCTATGAGCAGGAGCCATGATTTTTCCTTTAAACTGCATAATAGACATAGTAGGATGAATAGGAAACAAAGAATTAGTACAGTATAACAGCTCAAAGGGGATTCGTACTGCTGAATCCTTCATTCACGTACGTACATACGCAGTTTCAGTACCATGGTAGGAATCCTACATACGTACGTATGTAGATTTAGTACCGCGGTACTAATTATACATACATACGATATGTACATATATTTAGTAAAGTGGTACTAATTATACATACGCATTATACGTACGTAGACTGAGTACTTACTGAGGGGGGGGGGGGAATTCCGAGTTTTTCGATGTATCGGTCGCTTAATCGGTTGCATTGAAGATGATCAAAACAGTGTTTTGTGAGGCCATTAAAAGTGCTGAAGAACCGGCTCAAATGAGATCCCCTGTGGGGATATGCTTGGTCATAGTGTTAAGAATAGTGCTGTGTGCCATTGTTACACGATTAAGGGCCTGGGGGGAGGCGATTCACCATTAACAGCCGGTATGGCCAAAATTGGCCGGTTTACAAGACCGCCTGCTGGTTAGAAAATAGGCCAACAACTAGTCAAATCCAGACCAACAGAATGGACTAGCTGGTAGTAGCTACTAGCAGACCTTGTTCATGAAATTCAGTTGATAATACTAGTAGTACTACTACTAGTAGTACTAAAACTACTAGCTACTACTAGCTACTACTACTACTAGTACTAGTACAACAGCAACAAGAATAATTTTCACATCGATTTTTTTTTAAATGCACGAAATTACACTTTGCTTCTGAAAAATGTTACCTAGATTTCCTACTGATTCCTACAGAGTACATACCTGACCAAGGCCTTCTGGTATCCGAACCACCATGGTGGTGACATCCCCTTCTTGGACTTCTGAAGGGAAAAAAAACAATCTTCTAACCAAGACCATTACATCCATATCATTCCCCTGTCCCCAGCTGATTGGATCCATATCATTCCCCTGTCCCCAGCTGATACTAGCAGTTTGCCCTAGCTGGTGGATCCATCCCCAGTTCTTAAGGACTGGAAGCCACAGTGTTTTCTGGTGGTCACCATGGTGTTGTTGTTTCCAACATCTGTGTTGGACAGTAACAACAACAAGAACCTCCACTATTCATCCAAGGCCTATCCTTGGAAGAACAATGCCTGGAGTATATGCTACATCATGCCCAGTTTAAAGAAGATTCATCAGCACATCCATGCAGTTCTCTCCAGACCAGGAGAAGATCCCAGTCACAATGTTGTTGTTTCCGACATTCATGTTGGACAGCAACAACAAGAACAACACCAGCCCCCAGTATTCAACCATGACCTCTCCTTTAAAGAACAATGCCTGCTATGCATGCAATATACTCAGTTCAAAGATTCCCCAGAATCTCCATGCAGTTCCAGTACTTACTATAGACCAGAAACCTTAGTGTTTTCTGGTCACAATGTTGTTGATTCTGACATTCATGCCAAAAAGCAGCAACAACAACCCCAGTCCCTTTCAGGCACTACAATCATAATGATGCTGATGAGATCAGCAGCGTCTTTTCCCTTATACCAGCTCCTGCTGGATCTATCTCCAGTTCTTACTACAGACCAGAACCAGTGCATTCAGGTCACAAGAATGGTGTTGTTGTTTCTGA